TGCTTGATTTTGTCAGGTTTGGTACTATTCAGTGCAAGTCATCCTATACTGCATAGACCCATCCATACCATATCACTCAAACTCCAACGGGCTCATTCTGTTGGAGTTTATCAGGTTTGGTAGAGTGACCTGCATGTACAAGTACATAGACAAGTACATGCACCTGTTGGATTTTGTGAGGTTCAGTGTGCTTTCTAGTGCAGGAGCCAGTGGGTTAGGGTTAATGTGCCCATGAATTTTCATTTTTTTTTCATATTTTCAAGGATTCTTGCCGTCAGTTTGTGATGTTTCAAGCACTTGCTCAAAGTGCCCGACTTCTCAAATGTGTTCCTATTCCAAATTTGGAACCCATCAATTGTTCAAATTGTTTGCTTAAGTTTGTTTCCTTTGATGACTGTGCATTTCTCTCTCTCTGTCACTCTGTCTGTGCAGGCAAACGACCTCCTGTTCCTGGTCCCGGAGGTCGGTTGGAGGTCGCTGGGGTCGTTGTGGGTGAATGGGCTGGAAGTGATGGATCAAGGGGCAGAGGGTAAGTGGTATCCCAGTCTTTGAAAACTGCATTGGATTAAGATTTACATCAGCAAGGATAAGCAGTATTCCAATATCTGATTAAAGAGCTGCTCAGGCCAGGATGAGAAAAATTGGCCAGACTCGTAAGAAAATGGTAAAAATTAGCAGTATTCGCTGTCTTTGGTCATTTTTTTGTCAATGAATCACATTCTTCCTTTTTTTCAACCGGTACCCTTCCAGTGGCATGTATTCAGCTTCGGGCGCACCGGTGAGAGGTGGTCGGCCAAATCAGCGAGGGGGGATGGGGCGAGGTAGCTATGGCAATGGCGCAATGCATGGATACTTCCCTCCAGGACCTCAACAGATGTGGGGCGTACCGGACGCAAGGGTGAGTCAGTGCTCCGGTGGTGCATTCCATTTGCATGATCTCCTGACAATTAAGTCAGAAGCTCATGTCTGAGCATTAGCAGTGGCATTTTGTATGAAATGAATGAATACAGGTTGGGCCAAATTTATCTTTAGTAGTACTTTTTTCTGTTGCAATATTTCCTTGACATGGAATTCACTTCATAGTTAGCAGTTAGCAGAAAAGTCGTGCTTACTATAGCAGAAAAATGTGTTAACCTTAAGCACAATTTCATGGCGGTGCCTTGCCTGGTTGTGCTTATGGTTGGAGGCGGAAAGACACTTCCGTTTTGTCAATTTATTTTTCCCTCGAGGTAAGCGTGCCTTTTGCTAAGCTTACTGCTTACGGTCTCCATGAAATACACAGGGCCTCTGTTAGTGTAAAATTGTGTGCTTAGCAGCACTGTGAAATTGGGCCTTGAACAAGACTTGCATCCTCTGCTAACCATTCTAATGACTTTCAGGGTTTTGTTAAAGTTAGGAGCTTCATTTTGTATCGATACGGATGCCATCATGTGTTTGTGATTACGTTCTCTGATTTCCAGCAACAGCAAATTTATGGGGAGCTAGGCCCCGGTTATCGGCGCCAAAACCCGAGCAAGCCCAAACCCAAGCGAGTCCAGAGAAACAACGGTGATAGCAGTGTCATGCCAGGAAAGGGCAGAGGCCGAGGCTTGACCATCGACACCGAGGAGCCGTCGGCCGGGGGCGACACGGCGGACGTGGAGAGGACGGGTGAAGGAGAAGAAGAAGAACAGGGGCTTGGGACCGGCGAAGGCCGGCCGAAAATGAGCGTGTCGGACTCGGCCAGTGAATCCAGCAGCTCAGAGGAGGATGTCCCAGGGGCGTTCAGCGATGCCAAGGAAACGCTGTCACCGGGTGGCGACTTCAGCCCTGCCCCGACGGACTTTCAAGGCGCCTCCGAGGACGTGGTGTCAAGTTATCACGAGGGCGGATACGAGCTGCCCGGTACCCACACAGGACCACCGTATAACGGAGGCGTAGACACCATGCATGCTGAGAGCAGGGAGGGCACAGATGTCCCCTAAGATGCAAACCCAGAATCATGGATTTCTTGCTCCTTTTCAATCATATTTTTTTTTTTTTTATTACTGAAGGAAATTAAAGATGAGAGGAGAGTTCATATTTTTTGGATTGATGTGTGCTGAATGGATGTTGGCAACCAGAGACAAAAATTTATAATAAAATTTGGAAAAAAAAGATGTAAAAAAAAGATAGTGAAGGTAACTGAAAAGGGAGGCACTTTGTTTCGCCTATGAAATAGGAGAAAAAAGGTTGTCAGCAAGAAGTGCTAAAAAATTCTTGAGTGGTTTAGTGACTGCAGTTTTTTGTATCTAACTGTTTTCGTAACCCTCACACTAGATCTCTTTCTATACTGACAAAGGGCGCCTTTCTGTTTGGAGCAGTGAGTAGTTGGTTAATTGTGCATGTGGCTAATTCATATCCATCCATCACACATCAGTGGTAGGTCAGGGGTCATCCAGTCTAGCGATGACTTTTGACACTGACTCATATCGGCCGCTGTCTTCGGTATCATCAGAGCGCTAGAAAAGACGGTTTTTCGGTGGTGTTTCACTTTTTTTGGCACTCAGCGACATTTGGTGGAGATGCTTTGGAGCATTGTCTTGAATTAGCTCCGCTTCGGCATGGGAAGCTCAGTGAAGGTGTAAGTCGGTTCAGGCAAGTCTTTACGACGGAAACAACTTGGCCACAGCTGGAAAGTAACCCGTAGTCTACGAGAAGCAGACTTGTCTGATTCCGTAGATGATCGTGTTATTGCTGGCCCCGTATCCAAGTATTTCAGATACAGCCTTACAAAACACAAAATGGGACATGGAGGAAGGATGCTTACAACTGGCTACAAATCAAAACAAATCGGAAACCAGGGCTTGCAAAGTGCGCATGTTGTATATGAACATTAGCTGGTAGCCGTCAAACTGTGCCAAGGTTGTAGATCTGGGAGTAGTTGGACTTTCTACCAGGTGCGTCTGATTTGCAGCGTTGTCATGGGAGGACCAATTTTGAAAGTATACCAGAATATTACCTGGCCATTGTTCACCGACAGGTTTCACAACAGTTTAAGAATGATATTTGTTGAATTTGGTGGGGGGGGCGTTAGGCAAAGTGCTGAAACTGGACCCATACCTTCGTGGAACATGCGACACTTGTCTGTGTGTCAGTGTTAGAGACAAGAGACTGGCTCCACATATCTGCATTTAGGTTGACATATCAGAACTTGATATGCATAATATTGCAAGCAATGTCATGTTTTTATGCACATTTTACCCACAATGATATAGTGCCTTCTGAAGAAAAAAAAAACGAAACAAAAACAAAAGGTACAAACCTTGAGAGTGAATTCCGCCTTCCTCCAAGGGCTGACTTTTTGACTGTCAAATCTTGAAACCAACTATGCAGCGAGGCACAGTTTTGTATTTATAAAAAGTACCCCTTTGATAAAAGAGTTTTTTCTTTTCTTGTACAGCCCTTCTTTCTTAAAGACAAGAAACAATATGGCCTTCATTTGTTAAGATACTCTCAGGTTAAAGATTGATCATCCCTGTTAGATTTCTATGTACATGTAGACCCTAATGCTGTTTACAAAAATGACAAAAAGAAAGACCAAAGAACATTGAAATCCGAAATGGATACCCGACAAAATCAGGAAACATTCTAGACAAAATATCCCATGGGACAAATTAGTCATTTAGGTAGAAGATGCGAAAAATTGGTCACTGTCCAGTGCTGGGTGCGTCCGTGTAAAAGCATCCTTAAAATTGGAGCCGTTCAAAATTGGAGGCAGGAACTGTTGATCATAGTAATGGTCCAACCTTTTTGTTTTCAAATTTTGCTGCATTTATGCAACAAAATGACTGAGAAGGTTGAATCCAGTAACTTTGTACCCAGATCAAAATGCCCTATTGAAGTAAAGAAATATTTGGGGAAAACGTCCCGTAAATGATTCAACTGTCGTCCATCAGTTAGAACATTTACAACAGTTGGAACACTGTGTCAAATTTGTTTGGGGACGGATTTTTATGCAATTATGCCTAAATTAAAGGACCGCGGCGGTTCCTGTTAGCACGAACACTGTGTATAGAATGCAAGCATAGGTGGTACATCAAAACTGACAGTCGCATTTCTGCTGTCAACAGCGCCGTTTAAAAAAAGTCACAAAAAATAACAGTGTAGCAAGTGCTGTGTTGTCTGTGTGCAAGCATATGTTGGACTGAAGCAAGAACTTACGGAAACAAATGTTGTGGGTCAATGTGCACTTTTTGAAAAAAATATCTGTTGCGAAAAAAGGGGGCAGGAATAATTTCTTGATTAAAGTGAGATTATGTTATATATTACACGCCATATCGTTAATTGCTGTCATAATTGTCTTGTCGATACCTTGCTGTAATTTTAAGCTTCGTATTTATTTGCTTTACTGATTTTAACGTGTCGTTGATGGCAAGGGGGCGCAGTTGCACCACAAGCAGCATTTGATAGTGACTGACAATGTTTGGCATTTGGCAGTTGCTCTTGTTCCTAATGCGAGGATGAGCAGCGCCCCCTGTAGTCATGAGGCAGAGCTTGTAAATTGGTCATTCATGAGATTGCATTGCATGTTGTTGAAGTCCTCGTGATGTTGACCATCTTGATCTCAGCATTTCAGATACGAATAACCAAAATTGTGTTCTTTTCGCATCCATGGAACTGTAGGGGAAGAAAAACCAAAACAAACCTACCAAAAAAAAAGTGACTTTGCTAATGATTTCCCAAACAGTTTTGATTTGTGTCAACAGTTTAATCTTATGAATAATAGATTGTAGAAAAATCCATCATTTAAGTATGAAAAGAGACAAAAATACAAAACGTAAAAACTTGGTGAGATTTGACTGTCCATATATAGTTATGCATGCAGTGTAACCTAATGTAGCAACCTGTACGTAAGTACCTAAGACGTTTTATGCTTTACATTTACAACTTGCTAGGTAATTTGTTTTGCCTGTTTTAACCTGAAGCAGAAATATGTTGTCCATCTTTGAGGATAGTTCCATTGACACAGGTAAAGAAAATTTGTTTTTAAAAGTTTCTGATTTTTTGTAGTTTCACTAGGCCCTAGCATAATGTTCAAGAAATTGCCATTTGCCAAAAATAATAATGGGATAAATTTAGACAAAGTAGAGTGATAGAGGAGTTATTTGAATCTTGTAATGTGGTATTTTGTTATCCATAGCCACGGCTGTTTAACTTGCATGCTGATTGATTATTTTCAGTAAAAAAAAATCCTTCATTGTTGACTTTGATTTCTTGAAGTGTAATTAAGAAATGGCTTTGAAATTATCCTGTGACTTAGGATAGTTGGAAAATGTACCTCCAAATTACAGAACACCAGTTGCTCCAATTTAATTGAGTTGAATTGCAAAAGTGATGTGACTTTATTTAGTGGACAGTGCAGTGGAAACATTTTGGATCTTTTTCCTTTTCCCTGAACAATGAATTTAGAGACATTCTGTGAATGTCTGTAAGGGAGATTTCTTTTAAAAATTACCCTTAAGTTTGAATTATATTGATAAATGGCACCAGAATTTCTAAAACTGAAGGATTCCCCAAAATGGAGAAAATTTTTAATGTGTAACTTGTGGCTTTTGATTCTGTTTGTCATGAGATAACTTAAAATTAATAAAATATTTAGGGTATTCCAATTTCTTCGGCTTTATTGTGAGTAGAGTTTTTCCTGGAGGTGTCATAAGATATTAAATTGCTGGTGCCGTGCAGTTTTTTTTTCAGGATGAATTTCTATCTGCAGGAAAAACTCTACTCACAATAAAGCCGAAGAAATTAGAATACCCTAAATATTTTATGAATTTATTACCAGCTTGCATTTTTTCCCCCGTGAGCTTTTTTTGTGTGGGAAATAAACCTGACTGCAGCATACATGGGCCAATCAGCAGTTTGCCCCAGATTTTGTTTGTAACTAATTGGTCACTTTGGTATGTAGTGTTTCTCTCTTTTTTGCAGTCTTACTTACTAGCCAATTTACAAAAGGTTTAGCAGTAGTGTCATTTTGCTAGGATTATTAATCCCTACCGTATTTTGCTGTCCTTTTTGAAGAAAAGTAGTGTGCCCTCTGCTAGGAAGTTTTAGTTCAGAAATTTGTGGCATAGATTTTACAACTTTAAGACCTTGAAAACCTTAGTGTGATGGTTGTATCCAGTATATATTGAGTCCAGTTGTGTTGAAAGAGTGAAAAATTGTTGCACCAGAAAAATATATCAAGGTACAATTTTTTTTTTGCTTTTTGAAAAGCAGTATGTTTCCATGGCATAATTCAGTTGACAAAGACTGTAATCTGAAAAGATGCTCAGACTAAATTAATGGAATCAGTCATTTCCGGAACAACTGGGGAGAATATCATTCAGGGTGGTGCGTGTGCAGCCATCCTGGTATGGTTCCACAGGCGCCAGGTATCACGGACGCCAAAGGTGAATTTGCCCGTTGAACCTCGCTCTGAATGGCAAGTTTGTCTGGAAAGTAGCTGCAAAAAATCAAGTCGTAGTGTCCAGGAAAAAGCTTTTCGCCAAACGCCCAGGTTTTCCCCAGTTAACACTTGCCGACGGTCAATACAGAGATCTCAAAGTCGCTTGTTTTTTGGTCTGTGCCAAACAAGCTCATGGCAGCCTTTGAAATGTCAAAGCATGCAACACTGTGTGGAGTATGTTTACCTGTATATTGAAATAAATTGCTGTTATATGCCAGCAAGATTATTAATGTTTATGTAAGAATTGTTTGTAGAAATGCTACCTTAATCTGTGCTTTTTTAAAGCTGTAATTTGTAGATATGCCTCCATTCCATTGCATATTGCATTCAGTGAATATTTTGGTCATTGGAACAGAGCATTGGGGGTTTTGTCCTGAGTGGATATTGAAAAGACAAACAAAAGAAAAATAAAAATTGATCCTTTTTTTTTTGTCAGACAACTTGCCTTACAGTTAAGCCACTTCAGTCAGTAACTTCAGGATGGAAATGACGACTGCATTTTGTCAGTTCTCCAAAGTAGCATCAACAGAAAATAATCTTGCGGATAACTTGAGTTGGCTTTCAGTGTTCTGTTTACAAATCGGTTTTGTGAGCCAGATGTAAAAGTGTGGGTAACTTTGAATTTGTACCCAAAAAAAAAAAAGAATAAATAAAGCAGCAAACCATTATTGCAATAGCACCCGATCAAAACCCTTTTGGACAAAGCTTGTGTCGTTTTGAGTGACAACCCTTTTTCATTCAACATCTTTGCTAAAAAAAGCTGATCAGTCTTTGTTGCCTCCCATCATTTTCACCATTCAGCAACGAGGGAAGTTCCAGAACTGCCCAGCGTTTGTAAGTGATTAAAAGCCGAGAAAGCAAATTAGAAGCGTGGGTGATATTTTTGTGCAGCCAAATGTTTGCACCGTGCTTTGTTCATTTGGGGCTCTCTCGTGCGTGGGTTCACTCACCGGGGATGGGTAAGCTTTAAAAATGCACAGAAAGGTTTCAATTTAAGAGTCCAGACACCTTCACGGCAAACATTTGTTGATGGGTCATGACTTGTGAGTAGTAACTCTGCTTTGCAATGCTCTTTACTTGATGGCTTAGTAAGGTATGTCCGTTATGTGTCTGCTAAATAGTATTCGATGTGCAGCACAAACTTCAGATGCATGAGTAGATTTCTTTTAGTGTAAAATTTTACTCTGTGTACAGTGTAACCACTCAAGAATTTTTAAAGCAAACGAGGGATGAACGTGGATTGGAGGGATGCAATGCTTGTGTCTGTGACAGGACTTGGAAACCTTGCAGTGTTGTTCAGCTCACAGCTTGAAATGTAAACAGCTTGTTCAAGCTTGGGGCATCACAAAATATCTGGCAAATATGTGGAGAGCTGCATCTTGGTTTGTTATTTTGTCATATTGTGCCTGTGTATTCATTTGCAAAAATTGTACGTCATTTTCTGCAAGAGAGACTTTTTCATGAAATTTTCGACTTTTATTAAAGAAAAACAGTTGAAAAACGATATTTTAACAGATTCATTTATTAGATTGATTTCTGTAACATGCATTGTAATTTTCTATTGTATTTTATTTTTACGTTTGTAATTATAACAGTATTTGTAGTTGTGTTTTGAACGTTAGCGTTACAGGTTCTTGTCTCTGCAGTTTCTGAAAGCTGCTAATTCCAAGTCCTGTTACAGGCTCTCTGAAGAACTGACATTATGGAGAGTGAAATTGTACAGAAGAGAAAAATGGAAGGTTGGATGTCTCAAGAAAGTGGAGCATGGCAGGCAAGACTGGGCCATTGATTGATAATGATTGTTAAGTCGTAGCTTTGACCTGGGGCGTGAGCTTGAGTCAGGCCTACAGAGGAATGCTTTTGTCACAGTTCATTTGAGCAGCTCATGAGTTGGCCCAAGACTGGATGGCTTGTAATGGCCATACCAGTGATGATCAGCTCTGGTTGGGCATGGCAAAACCCATGTCAAATTGGCAACATACACAAGGGTAATATGAGCTCCGTGTCATATGCTTTGTACGATCGGAATTTCGACGCCATAGTATTAACTGAAGTATTGTCTTGTGCAGGAATGGTACAGTAGTCCCGATGGCCAGTGTTACTGACCACAGTGAGCAGAACAATAATGTATTCAACACATTTGTAAAAGAAGTTTCTATTTTGAAAGTACAGACATTGTTTTGGGGTTCTTTTAATGCAAGGATGAAGCTCTCTACTCTCCAAGCAGCTGAGCTGTGTGCTGGAAATAACTGCAGAATCAGATATTTTGTGTAACCATGGTAACTTGGTTTGTAGCTTGTAATGTGCAGCTGATGTACTACAAAGCAAAGGCATTAAAACAAACTAGAAAGGGATTTTAGCTCAGAAACTGGATATCTGAAAATGAGTTGAGTGGAACTTATTTTGCTTAACAGGTTTGGTCACCAGTGCCGTATTAAAAGGGTTCATCTTAGCTGGTTGCCTGCAAATTAGTTTGTTGAGCAAAATACTTTCTGCCACAAATTTGGATAACTTCTCTCATTAACCTGAGATGGTTATATAGGAGTAGTAACTTACATGCTCTGTGGTTGGTAATGAGGTTAAAAAGGGCACCAGGTTATTAATAAGCCGTAGCCCAACGGTGTCTTCCTGCTTAAATCAGTGGCTTATGCGATGTGGCTTCGTACCCAATCTACTGTGTATGTTTTGGAATGGAATTCATAACAGGTCATCTGTCTAAAAGCCGTAGTCGAAAGCCTTAATGTATGTACCATGGCCGAAGGTTTTGTAACAAGCTTTGTTGGATGTTTAACCTTGCAAGAATATAATCAGCTTTAGTAGAAAACGGACTCGAAGTGTAATGAATGTGTCTCTGTCACAAATGTAAACACTGAAACTGCAATTTGGGAATTTTTCCAGGTCAGCAAGTGAGGCTTGTCTCTTTTCGAGCTCGAGAGGAGACTGGTGATGTAGCTCTTCCTGTCACAATCATATGATGCAAGTCCAAGAAAACTACTCAACAAATTTGTGTTAAGGCCAAATGATGGATTCCCTGGTTCTTGTCTGGATATCACCAACTCCAAAAGAGGGTGGGACCGCAAACTTAAACGTGCATTAATTGCACGACAACTCAATCTGAACCTACATTTTGGTCCACTGCAACTGAACAACATTAAGGGGAAAGCAGTACCCAAGATAAAATGACACCAAATCAACCAAAACTCATTTGCTGATGATTATTAAAATGTTAATATATTCCCACCTTACAGAAAAACAGAAGTGAACTGAACGTTACCAAATAATGTGCATGTACTGATAACACCGACCAAACTTCCTTTTTATTAACCAGCTTTACCTCTCATATAAAGGTTCTTAGCACCACTGTGACATCTGGGAGTTGCAATTTAAGTACAAATTGGATTCTACATTTGTTCAGTATGATTGATCCCTAACAGAAGAGTATTTGCACAGAGTCCTAGCCATGTCACTTTGCAGCAACTAAAGGCTGCATGTGAAATACTTGGCTGTGGCTGCAGCTCCAGAATGCGGGTGTGTTGTTGCAAGCTGTAGCCAAATCTTTTGGACACAGCCAAAAAAGTCCTTGAACAAAAGCATGTGCATCTATACATGAACCACTAAAATGTACATGAAACATTTAAAATCTTAGATTTGACCAGATACAAACTATCGGTACTAGTTACGTGGAAGAGATTACATTTGTAATGTTCGATACAAACGGAGAAGTACAGTGTACTAAAACCTAAACAAAATGCCACTTATGAGGACAAAATACATTTCAGCCTTTAAATTTGTGTATTTCCATGAAACACTTGTCGATAAACATGCAACTTTTCATCTCTGATTTCCTTTTCTGGTAATATTCCAAAAATAAGACAAAGCCCTAGGTAAGTATTCTTAATTTTATTAAAATAATTTGTTCATTTTCTATTTACAAGCATAAACAATTTTTGAATATCAAATTACACAAACACTCCTATAGTTCACATTAAAATATTTCTGCATTGAATCCACATATTAAACACATAGTACAATATATTCTCATTTGAGCCATTTACACTGAAAAAGTACATGTCTGAAGAGGCTCGACTTGGCATATACAAAAGACACTTCTTACCTACATGTGATAGAGAAGAGGCCTAAAAATGAAAGTTTTAGGGATTTCTCACTTTTAGCAAATTGGCTGGGCTTGAAGCTCATTGAAAATGGATTCCTTAAAGAGTAGCAATTACTCTTTCAATGTATGACAACATCTTGACATCTCTATTAGGTTTACTGCATTCAAACGTACACTTTTGTGGGAAATTATCCTTGCTTTCCTGGACAAGTGAGGGCACTGTTGCTGTGATGTCTCCCAGGGAAGACATGGTTCAGTGGACAGGTTTTTCTATTCAACTTGTGAACCAAAAAAATACTCAAAACATTTTATGAGAAGGGGATGATTGCTTGCTTATTGTTATGTATAAGTACTTTACACAACAATGAATCAACAAACGAGAAAATTTAGGCTCGTAAAATCTTTAAAAATTGCAGGAATATTTTTGTGCATAAACCAAGGCAATAAAGAGGTTTTGTCTTGGGATGACATCACAGTTTTGCTCATGAATATGGAAATTCATTAGCATAAAACAAAAAAGACCCTCTTCAAACTGAAACAGTAATTGAGCACGAGATTGACTGAGACCAAAGGGTGCATTTTGAAGGTCTGTGTGAAATTCCATTGCAGCTATCCTTTCATCACCTAGGAATTGAAAAGAACATTTTGCTGGAGGAAATATTAAACCTTAACATCCATCGGTCTCCAAAATAAGGTTTTCAATGTCCAGCTTTACACCACTTGCTCCATTTTTTCAAAAATGATCCTGTCCCCATTTTTGTTGGGATGTCACTGGTATTATTACTAAAGGACAATTCTGTTCTTAATTTGGTCAACTCTTTGGCATTCTAGCAAGCTTAGCTACTGTATCCTTTGAATTTGCACATTCCACACACATATACAATTAAACCGCCATATTCTATATATCTGTGATTTCCTTTAGCTAGTATAGTAAATAAATGCCACTCAGTGACAATGGAAAATCACTACTTCGTACAAAAAATAATTTTTAATGCACACATGGACTCTTACTTTTCACTTCCTCTCCCTGCAAATGGCATGATTTTTAAACAAAGTTTACATGCATAAAACGCTATAAAAAAACCAGTGACTAACAAGTGCTGGGCCATATGCGCCATGTTCATTGAAGCACAGAGGCTGCTCTACATCACTGCATAGCGCCCTCTGTGCTTTACTTGCGAGCAAGGTTCAAGCATGCAAGAATCTGAGGCTGTATCCGAATCTGTTGTCTCGATGTACAATCCTGGCCAAATCTTGTTGGGCCTCCAACCCCCAGGTCCCCTCTTCATGTTGGGTCTGAAGGCACGGTCGGTGCCCCAGCTCGAGATGACAACATTGACCGGTGGGAGTGGGAGACCTGGGGAGGGTATGGCTATTAACAATTTGGGTCAGGATTGTACGTCTACGGGTGTGTCTTTGCTCCACTGGAAATACACAGGGACAAGCTGACAATAGATACATAACCTTGGCTCATGGAGTCCATTCCGGACATGGCATGAACACATGATACCCATCGACTTATGACACCGCCAGTTATGATGGGTATTGTTTGAAGTAATTTCTCACACTAGTATGGGGCCAGACACGGAGAGATTGTGCACAGGCTAAGGAATCCCTTTTTCCTGCCGATCTGTTGAGGTAAATCTGCTGGGCATTCTGTTGCAATGGACCCAATTTTACTTCTTGGCACTCACACACGAGTACCCTTGCTACATGTATGCTTCATACTTCATAACAGTGACTTGGTGTGTGGGAACGGGTTGCATACCCCCACTAGGGGAGGGGGGCAGAGTTGTAGCATGTTAACCACTTGCTGCTGGGTGAACAGAGCCCAGATTGTGCGGTGTTATGTAACTTTCTTTTGTTCACGAACCTGGCACTGTGTGCTGCTGACCTCTTTTCAATAGGGGCCAGTTTAGCGTGCAGTGGTGCTGTGTGGCTCATCGCTGCGGTGGTGGAGCACTTTTGTTCCCGGTGGTAATCTGCTCGCTCTAAATGCCCCAAATCGTGGTATACTGTTTCAAAACAAGGCTGAATTATCTCCACTATTGAGAGTGAAAAAATGTCGGTAATGCCCAGCAGCCTGGTCTTTTGTTCCGAGTACAGTCTTTTGTTACAAGGCCCAGTTCCCTTTGTTACATTTCGGGTTCCCCGGCTCCATGTATAAAGCCTACGTGCTGGAAAACGGGTCCCCCGGCAGCAAGTGGTTAATGGTAATAATGAGCCCAAATTTATGTGACGTGTGTAGATGACAATATTAATCCTACTAGTTGATATTCCACCTGTAACCTCCCTCCCACATTAATGAGATAGTGGAAACTGCATCCAATGAAATCAGTTATTACATGTACATCATGGCATTCAAGTTGTTTTACAGTGTTTAGTCACCTTATGGAGTGAACTGGAGTCAACGGCTATTTACATTTTCCTTTTAGCTGTAAAAATTCAAGTGGGAATTTTTTATGACACTGACTTTTTAAGGTATGCCTATATTTCAACATTTACAACATATTTCAGTTTAAATACATGTATCACGATATACACCCGAAGGTATTGAGCAAGGATTTGTTAGAGAATTTGGTCGCTGGCCTAGCAGACCAATACTAAGGGTACTGTACTGGAAATGGCTATGAAGATCCAGTCTAAAATTCTGTGGCGATGGGTTTCAATGGCAAAAACGCATATTGCTTTATAATCATGATCTAGTTCTATGCATACTGGCCTGCGTGTGTATGTGCCACAGACGTGCCTCATCATGAGGTGCTGTTGAAAGGGACTTCAGGGTTTATCTAAACATTTGATATCTCGAGGTTACACTGCGAGTGACTTGCGTACAATCAAAATGGCAAGATTAACATTGTGCATAATAACCTGACAGGCCAGTCCAGTTGTTGCAAAGTATCCCTGCCCCCTCCCAATTCTCTAATCCCTGCCCCCATCTCTATGCCCCCCTTTTGCTGGAAAGCCTCATCCACAAATTTGAGCACAGAGGGATACTCAAAACGGTGGACCACAAAGTGTAATATACATCCTCAAAATGATGGTAACATTTTTTCAGATCTGTACAACTAATTCATCTAGACATCGCATACAAATATTTGTCTGATCCAAGCACTTCATTTTAGTTTAGATATAGAACTTGTTAGCTTTTCGTCTTTTAATACCTCTTTGGTTTTTGTTTCGAGGAAAGAGATTTGGTTTCTGTTTTTCTTTCAGGAGTTGAAGACATACTCACGTTGACGTGCCGTCTGATGCAATCTGCTGTTGTAGCTTTAAGGAGCTGTGCACACAGTCTGGACAAGCCATGGGTAAGAACCCGTCTCCCTTGGCATATAGGTTGCCAAGGGACTGTGTGTTGCTAGGCAATGGTACTGGTAAAGTGGCCATCTTGCTGATCCATAGTGCAGTGGCGCTCTCCTGCAAGTTCCCCTTCCTGTAGTGGTGTCCGCAGGTGAAGACCACACAGTCCGATTTTGCAGCGGAGTTCTCTGGCCCTTCTCTGGCGGGGCTCGAATCAACCAGGCCTGCAGCTTCGCTCTTGCTGATGCTGACATGCGCCCTCGCTTGGGCATCCTTGCCCAGGTTGTGGAGGACCTCCTCCCACAGTCTCTCCACAGCCACTCTTCCAGTCCCTCCCGGTGGGCGGTACACGCCTCCCTTGGAAGAAACGGCCGTTAGCGTGGTTAAGGTGCTGTTCCTTGCCTTTGTCTCATCAACTGCACCGCCAGCCGGTCGGAAGTCCTCGCTTGGCTTCCCCTGGCTGACATGCTGCACCACGGCTGACGTCACCTCTAAACAGAACTTGGAGGTGAATCTCTGGATGAGGTTTGGTGGGACTAGGCAGGAGCCACTCATACCGGCTGAGGGTGAAGATTCTAGGCTGTCACTATAAAATAATCAATTGGTCAACAGGCTTTCAACGTAGAGAATGATGTACTTATGGTGACTACAAACAAAAGCTGCATCTGAATGTCTTGTCTACAGCTACCGGTAGGTCTACGTCTTCACTCCATTGGAAATGCGTGGAGACGCGTAGACAATAGACCTAGCCGTAGCTCTGGAAGCCCGTTTCAGACACGGCCAACAAAAAGGCTTCCTACAGGTAATCACAGACAAGCTTGAATCAGGAACTATTGTAACTACTGTATACAACAGACTGTATTCTTGTGTCTGCCATCTCGAATTGAAAGTGAGGTTAACTTTTCATTTACAGAACCCGCGAATAAAAATAACATCAACATAAATGAGAGTTTACTACAAATTGAAGCCGGTTTATATTCAGAATAATTTAGAATTTGTGGTATTGTATCTGTATGTTTAAGGCCACATTTAAAAAAAAAATAACTGAAAGTGAGGCTTGGTATCCAGAATAGTCTGGCACCACCCCATTTAACAGATTACATTGAATATGACAGATTCAGGGAAAATAACAAAAATGGCTTCCCCATGCATAAGGTCTATTGATTCTTCTGACCCTGTGATTACCAGTTACTTACCAGAGTAGTAAGACGCTGAGAGGGTAGGCTACGTTATCCATGTGCTTCCTCAATAAACTCTCCAACACCTCCTGAGGTAGCTCTTGCTCCGCCCAGAACTGTAGAACCTGCATCGGCAAATGAACTCATCAGCATTCACTCAATCGTGCCTTCATCTGATGCTTGGAAAACCTTTTCATGCTTGGCAAAAATATGCTCAGTCTCATTTTGCTTGTGGTGCTACAATGCGAATGTGCAAATCAAATAATATGGGGGTCCATTCCTGCCACTTTCACAATACTGTTCTGTTTAAACTGCAGTAAAAACCTGAGGCAGGTTGTATAGGTCCAGACCAGGTTTCCATGGCAATGGCTACGTCGACTATCAACATCTTCCCTTATATTTAAAGCTGACAAAGAACTAGGCATAGCTCTAGACATCAGATTTTGAACATGAGCTTTAGTGCTTCGCTATGGTCAAGTTAGCCACAGACTCAGGTCTGGCGGTGGGACTTACCTGGATGAGAAGCAGCTTACAGGACTCCTTGATGTCCTCGTCACTCAGAGTAACATCTGTTGACTTATCAAATGTCAGTCTGTAGAAAGGTCAACATGTTACCTAACACTGAAACAATGGCTAGAAATATTTGGTTGGGATGAAAATTAGTCAGTGGGCTGAGACATTCAATTTCACTCATTTTACTGAGAGAGCACAACTGGAAAGCCAGTGTTGCTGTCAATGTCTAAAATTTGAACCAAAAAATCCTGAAATTAGGTGACTGCACGTCTCAGAATACTAATCAACACAGCTGACGTTAGTTCTAAAACGTAACTGTTTACACCTGTGGGCAACCCACCTGATGAACTTATCCACCAATGCTGTCACTTCCCTCAGTCCTTCTTCCTCCCCCTGTGATCCCCTGAGTTCCACTCCCATCCCTTCCCTCTCCTTCAGCTGGTACAGTAGCGCCAGCGGGTAGTTGCGGTCCAGCTCGCAGACCTCGGCTGCCGCCTGCCAAAGCCGCCAGTCTTGGCAGAGCTGCAGGACCGTCCGGCGGTCGTAGCGGCCCTCCAGCGAGGTCAGGGCCAGGCTCAGGGACTGGAGGCCGTAAGGGGGCTGGGCGGGGTCAGCCCCGCCTAGACTGGGCAGGTCCCAGCCTGACACCTCCTCCAGCTCCTCCTCATCAGAACTCTGGAAATTGGAAATCCAAATCTTCATTCAGTTGAAGTCGTTAAGCAGCAACTAACTGGGCTATAAACCTTGTCTCTTAATCTGTACAACCCAGTGAGTGAAGTGGGATCCTTATTTAAAAAAAAGATTCGGGATTCCTTCATATTCATAATGATAAGAACTTCACATACTCTTAAGCAACATTTCCCATGTTCTGCGGTTTCACTGGTGACAGTATCAACTCTGTTGTGATTCTCCTGTATTTTCAAGCTCAGACATGTGCCTACATCAAATCAAGCGCCCACGCAAACTTAGAAACTATGAAAGCAATGTGTCATTGGAATTCATTCAGAACGGGAGCTGTTTTGACACAATGAGGTGGTGTGCCTTTATTACTTGGCTACGGCTAGTGGCTTCAGGCATTTCCCTTGACACCGTTTATTTCCAAGCCGTAGCCATGTAATTTTGGATGCGGAGGCCACTGTCTTTTGAAGTCTAGTCCCCCGGCTCACCTCCATGTCCTCCTCATCACTTTCCTCCTCCTCAGTCATTCCAACGGCAGACGAAAGGGCTACCCGTGGAATGCCGGGCACAAGCATGGGGGTAACGACCAGGCGGGTCATGGGCGCACTCTTGCTGAGTCTCGGTTGACGGAGCTGGGGATTGTTGCGATGACTGGCATCGATGCCAAGCTGACATGGCGATTAATGAGAGATGATACATGTATTTTTAAAAGGGCACTGAGTACTAAGTTTGTTAGTACCAAGCCTGAAACCTGTCTGTTAAATTTCTAAGACAGAGAACATCTAATCAAATTCAAAATAACTTGGTAAGACAGACCTGAATATTGAGAGAAAACCAACAAATACACTTCCCAGTCCATACTGTGCTTGAGCAAGTGAGCGAGAAGTACCGAGTGGGTATTAACCCCTTCCTGCCGGGATTCTTTTGACTTTGACTGCTGGGCTGTGGTATGCCCAGTACTCAAAGCTCTGTCCAGTAGCAGGCCCACATTGAAACCGCAGGTGCATGATGAATAGAATGTATGTGTGGTATGCACTAATCCTCACACTAAGCCGCACTTGTGGACAGCTCCCGGTATGAAGGGGTTAACCACTTCCTGCTGGGCGACCCGTTTTCAAGTACATAGGCTTTATATGCAGAGCCAGGAGCCCCGAACTGGGACAAAAGAATTGGGCCTTATAACAAAGACCGTGCTCAGCACAAAAGACTGAGCTGCTGGGCATTACCGACATTTTTTCACTCTCAATAGTGGAGATAATCCAGCCTTGTTTTGAAACAGTATACAACTGTTTGAGGCATTTCGAGCGAGCGGATTACCACCGGGGACAAAAGCTCTCCACCACTGCAGCGATAAGCCACACACGCTGCACGCTAATCTGGCCCCTATTGAAAAGAGGTCAGCAGTGCACTGTGCCGGTTTCGGGAACAAAAGAATCTTACGTAACACCGCACAATCTGGGCTCTTTTTCCAATTAGGCTGCAGGCCTGGCTGAAATATTCAGAAGTCAATGAATTTTACCTGTCAGCTTTAGAATAGTGCCCAAAGAGTCCTTCATTTTGGTATAAACATCCATTAAATGAAATGATGAATTTTTGAAGAATTTTGAAAACGGAAAATCTTGAAAATGCGCCGGCATCTTGTCTTGCTCAAGAAAAATCCACCCGGCAGCAAGTGGTTAGGATGAAAACATACCTGTTCCATACTCTGTCTCAATAAGCGAGTGCTTGTATCAGCTAATTTTATGATTTTCTTTCAAATGACTGCCTGGGGGCTACTCTTATCTGACAGACAACATCTACTGACACCCGAGTATTTCAGCCAGGCCTGTCGCCTTGTAAAGAGCGCCCAGATTGTACGATGTTATGAAATTTTCTTTTGTTCCCGAAACTGGCCCAGTGCACTGCTGGCGTCTTTTCAAATACCGAACTCTCTTGTCCCTTGTGGTAATCTGCTCGTACTGAATACCACAAACAGTGGTATAATCATTTAAAACAATGACGGATTTCATCCACCATTGACAACTGAAAAAATGTTGGCAATTCCCGGCAGCCCGGTCTTTTGTTCCGAGTACAGTCTTTTGTTACAAGGCCAAACACCTTTTTCCGATTTCGGGCATTCCCGGCTTTGCGTATAAAGCCAATGTCTCCAGTTCCGGGCACCCCGGCACAGAGTGGTTAATGAGCAACGAGTACTGAAAACTGAGTGAGTACAATAACAAGAACCTACCAGTACCTGTTTGTTCTGAGAGAAGTGAGTACTGATACTAGCACCTACCTGTCCGTTCTCGGGTGACCCCCATGAGAAGACCTGGCCCTGCGCTGTGATGGCTACAGAGAACTCGGTCCCAGCACCGATGGCCGCTATACAGTGCTCATCACACACACGCAATAGGACTGGAATTCTCTGCACAGGAAAAAATACACAGCTCTTTTACATGCAATAGAGAAAAAGTGGAATGTGATTGCAGGAAACTTCTCAAAACCTGCTGCCGTTTTCTGTCAGAAAATTCCTCATGGAACACATGTTTCAAGTTTCCTCTTTAAGACAACCTGACAGTCACAAGCTAATTTATAATTTACATTAGCCCTGTCCTAGCTCCAAATGAAGTCTTCTCAAATATTGGATACGACTATTTTTGATATTGAGAAAACGATTCTAGGAGGCAGCGTTGCAGTCGAGTCCATCACAAGTCCTTTGTAAGACCAGATGAATGTCACAGGGTTAACGACGACAAAGGAGTACTTACATGTATGTCACAGTTCATTTGATTAGCCTGTGATTTGACTTGATGGTTTGTGTTGGACTTATGGGATGACATAATGGTTAGTTCCTCATCTTTCACTTCTGGGGCCTGGGGTTCAATTCCCGGCTCAGTCGACATGTGTGGGTTGAGTTTGCAATCTCTATCTGATCCCATGAGTTTTACCCAATATTCGCCTAGGGTTTTCCTTCCGTCTCTCATTATCTCCTCTCTACAAATTTCTGTAGGCTTAAGAGCTACGCTGCCTGATGCCCTTTTGAGGAATCCTTGGTGTCATTACCAGAAAAAAATAATAACGAGCAGGGGCTTGTGATGGACTTGTCTACCACACTGCTATGAGGCCTACATGGGCCCTTCCAGCATTCCTTCCTGGTGACTCACCTGTTCAGTCCTGTGGCCCAGGCCAAGTTGCCCACTGTCGTTCTTGCCAAAGCTGAACAGTTGACCTCCGCAGGTCAGGATCAGGTTGTGATTCATGGAGCAAGCAATCTACACAGATGGAGAGATCAGAGACAAATGGAGACATTGCAGCTGTGAGAGTTGCCAGCAAAAGTTTACTGTAACCTCAGAGCTACCTCCGATTACAAAGAATGTCCTCTGTTGCAAAGGCGCACCTGTAGAAAACTCAAAATATAGCACGAGTATGTTTAGGAAACTGCAGGTTTGGATTTAGCAGTTAATGAAGTACAGAGTTTCACATTGTCTCCCGAACAAGACCCTCCTTACCACTGAAAATAAAGGCCTGGGGCAAACCTCCAATGCCACTGCGTACCCAGTGTATCAACAATGAGTAACTGCAGACTAGTTAAATCACTAGGGTATTCATCTGCGGCAGCTCGTAGTTCACACCTACATGGTAGTCCCAAGGAGAGATTAATGCTTGGAGAAAAAACCTCCCCTGGCCAGTGCAGGCATGAAGCCCGAGCTAAAAGTCTCGTAAGGGCCTTGTGCCGGTCAAAAGAGGTCTCAATCACAACAATGACTTAGACTTATGGCTGCAGCCAATTACTCACAACGAACCTCTTTAATTGGTGCGCATATCTTGCCGCAGTCAAAGGCATACGGTCTTAGATACTGATTCTCATCTTCCGGCCTGGACTCCATGACGGTCACCGATCGCCGACGTCCAACAATGACTGTATCACTGCTGACATCACGAGATGTCTTCCGTTTCCTGGTCGACTGGAGGGACTGACGCAACTCCAGGGGACTCTTCCCCCAGATGTAGACTCTCTGAGGATTGGCTGTCACCGCAATCTGAAAGTCAAACACACATCAGAGATTTCTTGCAGGGATTTCCTTCCCACAACTGCAGTAGATACCTTAAATAATGCCCCTCGGTGTATGCATTATCTCAGCATCGATGCATTATCTCAGCATCGATGCATTATCTCAGCATCGATGCATTATCTCAGCATCGATGCATTATCTCAGCATCGATCTGGCAGGAAAGGTTTCTGAACACAGCATGGCACAGAAACGCCACTGTCTTCACAATTCCAACCTAGGAACAGTATAGTTAGACCCATCGTAATCCCAAACCACAAGCTAACCTGGCATTACATTGCCACCCCTATCCTGAGGTTGCCTGCATGATAGCACATGACCAGTCATATCATCACACACGAGTACTGCTCCCACACAATGAGACTCCATTCCCCATGCAATAGGATCCAATTCCACTCAATAGGATCCAATTCCACTCAATAGGAT